TAAAGTTTAAGGTATTTTTTAGATATTTTTTTTTTCTCTTTCTAATTTCTTTTTTTTTTTTTTTCTTTTTTCTTCTTCTTCTTGTTTCTTTTCTTTTTCTCTTTCTGTTTTTTAAGTATTGGTGTTAAAGTATTTTATGATTTGTTTAATTATTGTAACCAAATTTGTATATGGTTTATTTGTGTTTAAAAAATTTTCTTTTAAATTTTAATTAAGCCTGTATTCAGCTCTGGGAAGGTTGGGGGAGGGTTGGGGTGGGTTGGGAGGGTTTGGGGAAGGGGACTCTTTTTTTTGTAAAATTTTAAAAATTTTCAATAAAAAAAAAAAAAAGAAGAAGAAGAGACTGGACAGCCATTTGTCCGAAATGGGATAGGGTTTCCTGCCTGAGCAGGGGGTTGGACTAGATGACCTCCAAGGTCCCTTCCAACTTATTATTATTATTATTATTATTATTATTATTATTATTATTATTATTATTATTATTATTATTATTATTATTATTATTATTATTATCTTGGTCGTATGGACATCAACTCCCAGAATTCATAGTGGGCTGGGGAATTCTGGGAGTTGAAGTCCACATGTCTTCACCTTTTAATGAAAAACAGGCAAGAAACGCACATGCTTCGAACACCAGACCGATGGTCTTCTCTGTAACCTACAGTCAAAACAGGAAAACTATAATTTAGTCATCTTGATGATACACAGGATATATTATTGCCCAGAAACCACTGATGATTATTACCAAACAATAACATATCATGTATTGTGTACTGTACTCTGTCTTATTATGACTGTTCCCTATTAGTTCCTCTTGCATTTGTCGTTGACAGAGACGATATTGAAAAGCAGAATCGGTATAATGGTGAATTCTATTATTTTTATGGAGTGAAGGGAGCGAGGACCCTCTCCTCCCACCACAAAACTGGAAGGCCAAATTCGGTAGCACAATCCCTTCCTCTCCTGTGTGGTTGTTGCCAGCCTTTTAAAGGACATCTTACTACTCCTAGATACGACTTTCAGGTGGTTGCAAACTCAGATGGTGCGCCTGGGCTCCGAGAAGGCTGCTCAAATCTCGGTAAATTATTGCAGCAGCCCCTGAAACGGTTTGCAAAAGTCTGGGGGGATCCTGCAGGATGCCGAGTGAAAAATGTTGGCAGTCTTAAATCAAATTGTGGGTCACTCGAGGCTTTTAAGAAGAGACTGGGCAGCCATTGGTCTGAAATGGTACAGGGTCTCCTGCTGGAGCTGGGGGCTGGACTAGATGACCTCCAAGGTCCCTTCAATTTTGTTATTCTGCTTAATGGTTATTCTGTTGTCCTTCCTTCCTTCCTTCCTTCCTTCCTTCCTTCCTTCCTTCCTTCCTTCCTTCCTTCCTTCCTTCCTTCCTTCCTTTCTTCCAAGTACTGGATGGTTTGGAGAGGAGGAGGAGGAGGAGGGGGAGGAGGAAGAGGAGGAGGAGGAGGAGGAGGAGGAGGAGGAGGAGGAGGAGGAGGAGGAGGAGGAGGAGGAGAAAATGGATTGTGGGGTCCTGGGTGCTCTCTGAGCTGGGTGGTTTTCTTGCAGACATTTCATTACCCAACTAGGTAACATCATCAGTGTTAAAAGGAAGTGGGGTTTGTGGAGGGGAGGAGGAGGAGGAGGAGGAGGAGGAGGAGGAGGAGAAAATGGATTGTGGGGTCCTGGTGCTCTCTGAGCTGGGTGGTTTTCTTGCAGACATTTCATTACCCAACTAGGTAACATCATCAGTGTTAAAAGGGAGTGGGGTTTGTGGAGGGGAGGAGGAGGAGGAGGAGGAGGAGGAGGAGGAGGAGGAGGAGGAGGAGGAGGAGGAGGAGGAGGAGAAAATGGATTGTGGGGTCCTGGTGCTCTCTGAGCTGGGTGGTTTTCTTGCAGACGTTTCATTACCCAACTAGGTAACATCATCAATGTTAAAAGGGAGTGGGGTTTGTGGAGGGGAGGAGGAGGAGGAGGAGGAGGAGAAAATGGATTGTGGGATCCTGGTGCTCTCTGAGCTGGGTGGTTTTCTTGCAGACGTTTCATGACCCAGCTAGGAAACATCATTAGTGCTAGAAGGGAAGGGGGTTGTGGGGAGGAGGAGGAGGAGGAGGAGGAGGAGGAGGAGGAGAGGAGGAGGACGCCAACGACTATGGGGTCCTTGGTGCTCTCTGACCTTGGCTTTCATGCGGATGTTTCCTTACTCAGCTAGGGAACATGATCGGTGCTAGCAAGGAGTGGCGTTTGTGTTCATTTACGACATAACCCCACTTCCTTGTAGCACATGCCATTACCCAGTTGAGCAATGAAAGGTCTGCAAGAAAACCACCCAGCTCGGAGAACACGGAAGATTTAGAATCAGAAAACATGTCGAGCTGGGAATGACCCCAAGGATCATCTAGCCGAACGCTCTGCCAGCTGTCGGAAAAGCAGCTGGAAGCATCACGAGACGCTATGTTCCAGTGGCTTCTTCAAAGCCTCCACAGATGGAGACCCTTCTCAGAGGCCTTTGAAGGTCAGCCTTTCCGCCAATGGACGGATCTTCTTCTCAAGATGTTTTTCTCCCATGTAGCGCGATCAAAGGGAAGCCAGAACAGGTGGAAGCCACCTTGGTGTGCAATTCATCATGTGTGTACCCATCACGTCCTGTGTGTTGGCATTGGGCCACCTGTGGAGGCGCCCAGGGAGGAGACCCCACCCTCTCCGGGCAACCTTGCTGAAATCCCCTTCTCCTTGGGGAGAGAGAGAGACTTCCAAGGCAGATCTTCTTCCGACACGTTGAGCAAGACGGGGTAAACAAAGGCTGGCGAATTTGACGGCCTCACATTAAGCCACACGTACTTTTTAATTGCACGATGCTCCCCCTCTTGGGATGAGTATCCTGGAAGGAATGTGGCAGAGGTTGGCTTCCTTCGGAAACCGGCTGAACCGGCCTGCCTGCATGTTCCTTAATATGCTCATCTCCTTGGGAAGATTGGTTTTGGGAGACTGTCTCAAGGAGTGCGTTGCAACACAATTGCCCTGTTTGTGCAAGCTGCAAGTGGGTGGTGAAGTGATGGACCTGTGAGTAACTCCCATTACGTTTTCTTGAGTGAGTGAATTAACGCTAACCTAAATCAGTGGTTCTCAACTTAGGCAACGTTAAGACATGTGGACTTCAACTCCCAGAATTCCCCATACCGACTGTGGAATTCTGGGAGCTGAAGTCCACCCATCTCAAAGCGTGCTGGCTGAGGAATTCTGGGAGTTGAAGTTCACCCATCTTAAAGCATGCTGGATGGGGGATTCTGGGAGCTGAAGTCCACCCATCTTAAAGCCTGCTGGCTGGGGGATTCTGGGAATTGGTCCACCCATCTCAAAGCCTGCTGGCTGGGGGATTCTGGGAGTTGAAGTCCACCCATCTTAAAGCTTGCAGGCTGGGGAATTCTGGGAGTTGAAGTTCACCCATCTTAAAGCATGCTGGATGGGGGATTCTGGGAGCTGAAGTCCACCCATCTTAAAGCCTGCTGGCTAGGGGATTCTGGGAATTGAAGTCCACCCATCTCAAAGCCTGCTGGCTGGGGGATTCTGGGAATTGAAGTCCACCCATCTCAAAGCAAGCTAGCAGGGGTATCCTGGGACTTAAAATCCAGCCATCTTCAAGCCACCCCGGTTGAGAAACATTTTCCTAAACTGCCCTCTAACACACAGGCTGAGTTCACACGACACACAAAGCATGCAAAAACTTTAAAAACTAAAGTTTTCTGCTGAACCCGAATTCCTGTGCCATTCCACCCACTGCATTGTCGTTAAAAGAGTAATTTTGCACTACCGTTCTCATGTTTGTAAAAAGTTGCCTCTTCGGGCAGAAGTACCAAATGAAGCAGCAACATGGAAACGCGTCTTCTTAAAAAAAAAAAAAAGGAAAAGGTACATTTATTGAAAACAGTTAACACTTTATACAGTTTCTTCTCCCAGAATTGTGCGTCCCTCCCCACCCCACCCCCCACCCCACCCCACCCTGGATGAAGTTTAGCCAAGGGGCATGCATGCCCCCATGATTGACAGACTGAGTTGGCAAAATTGTTCCAGATTCACCAACAATCTCAGTCCATTTAAAAAAAAAAAACCTTTTGGATCCTGTGCAGGTTCGCGCAGCAGTGCCCTAGGACTGGTGAGGTCTAGCCCCCAGTAAAGCGTTGGCAACTTTGCAATCAAAGCCACACCGTGAAAACTTAGGGAACCCACCTTGGAACGGACAGGTGCATTTGTGTTTGTGCATTTGTGTGTGTGTGCGTGTTTGTGTGTGTGTTTCACAGCCCATTTCTGCAGCAAGAGACGTGGAAAGCTTCTATGTTTACACCAAAGCAGGGGTAGGCAACCTTGGCTCTTTTACGACTCGTGGACTTCAACTCCCAGAATTCCAGTCTGGCTTAGGAATTCTGGGAGTTGAAGTCCACGAGTCATAAAAGAGCCAAGGTTGTCTAGCCCTGCACCAGGGGGACCTTTGCAACAGGGATAAAAAAAAAAAAGGACTTTTCCCCCCTTTCCACTTTGACCCGCGGAGGTTTCTCAAAGATTATTTTTCCATCTCTGTTTTCTCCCGATTGGCTTGGCTCGCCCGCCAGATGTTTTGCACCGCGGGGCTGCAAGCCAACACATCTGGATGCCTCCAAGCTGAGGCGGTTCTTGTATATTCAAGACTTTGATAACAAGAGGACGAAACGGTGTGTATGTCTGTCTGTCTGTCTGTCTGTATGCATGTATGTATGTCTGCCTATCTCAATCTAATCTAGTGAAAAGAAGGACTGGGGGGGGGGAGACATGACAGCCATCTTCCAGTATTTGAGGGGCTGCCCCAAAGAAGAGGGAGTCAAGCTATTCTCCAAAGCACCTGAAGGCAGGACAAGAAGCGACGGATGGAAACTCATCAAGGAGAGAAGCAACCTGGAACTAAGGAGAAACTTCCTGACAGTTAGAACAATTAACCAGGGGAACAACCTGCCTCCAGAAGCGGTGAATGCTCCAACACTGGAGGTTTTTAAGAAGAGACTGGACAGCCATTTGTCTGAAATGGTATGGGGTGTCCTGCTTGAGCAAGGGGCTGGACTAGATGACCTCCAAGGTCCCTTCCAATTCTGTTATTCTGTGTGTCTCTTGCTTTCTTTCCAGCGGTGGGGAAGAAACAGTTAATGGATCTGCAGAACAGCCCAGGCTACAGCAGCTGGTCCAATTGGGGGGGGGGGCTAGGAAATCGGTGTGTGTGTGTGTGTGTGTGTGTGTGTGTGTGTGTGTCCCTAACCATGCTTCTTCTCAAGGGCTGACACTTCCCTCCCCAGCTATCCCCACCTTTTATCAAAATATGTGGCTTTTTGACGGCCCTCCGGCATTCAACGGCAGCCCACAATCGTGACAAAAGCTGGCAAACAGATTGAGCGGTTTTTGGAAGTGAAACGGGGTGGGTGTGTGCTTGGGCATGCCCTAACACGTATGTGCAGGCACACGGCTTCTCCGGGGAGGGCTCCCCAGCACTCCTAATCCAAACTGCCTCTTTGCACCAATTCTCTCTCTCTTGTTTTTTTTTCCCTTCTCCTTAACCCAGTCGCGGTGGGAAAGAATAAAAGATAGAAAAAAAAGGAGGGTGGGGGGCAGGACCCACGGCCGTGGGGAATTGATGGGAGTCCATGCAGAGTTTGGCACAGAAGGAATTGGGCAGCCTAAGCCACGTGTTTTTGTGTGTGCTGTGTGTGTGTGTGTGTGTGTGTGTGCGCGTGCACGTGTCCTGGGTTCTGCCTTTAAAAGGGGGCTGCAAAATCCCACCCACGCTGACGGTGGTCCCAGTAGCCCTGAGCAATATTCCTCACACTTTGGGCGTCTCTGGGGAGGGAGGGAGGGATCCTCCAGCATATTCAGGCGCAGAGCACGGCCAGTCCTCGGCTTACAAACAGTTCGTTTAGTGACCGTTGCAAGTCATCATGTTTTTCACACGACGGTTGCAGCAACGCCCCCGGTCACGCGATCCACATTCGGACCGTGCTTGGCCCCTGACTCCTATTTATGACGGTTTGCCCTGTCCCATGGTCCCCCTTTTGCTGACAAGCAAGGAGGGGGGGAGTCAGAGTCGCTTAGCGACCGGGGGACTAACATAACAAATGCAGCGGTTCGCTTAACGACCGTGGCAGGGAAGGTGATAAAATGGGGCAAACAGCTGTCCCAGCCACAAAAATGTGGGGCTCACTTGTGATCGTAAGTCGAGGACTGCCTGGGGGTTCCTCAAGCGGACCTTCCTCTGGGAGACCGCCCCCCCCCTCTGCCCGCTTTGGTGTTCCCTCCTGTCTTCTGGCCCTTCACGAGGAATCTACTACGAGGTTGCAAAGAGAGAGAGAAGGAGACCGTCCGTCGTCATTAAGAGAGAGAAGAAAGAGGGTCCGAAAAGGGAATGGCTGCCTTGTCGGCTCTCCCATCCGGGGAGGCGTCTGATGTTCCCTACGTCTGCGGGCTTGATTTTGGGGTGAATCCCTTCCTAGCTTTCCTATCGGGCAGAAGAGCAGGACCCGGCCAGGAGCAGAGAGGGGTGCAGGGGTACAAAGAGGCACAGTTCACATGTGGAGGTTGGGCGAAGGCGGTGTGCCAAAGCGGGATCGCTCTGCTCAGCGCAGGACAGGAGTAAAGCAGTGTCCCTCGGGGTCGTCCGATGCCAGCGTCTCGTCTCGTCCTTCTCCGTCGTATTATACGTAATCCTTCCCGGTGGAGATGGCAGACTTGGGATACGACCGAGTCTGGGGGTAGGAGGTCTCTTGCCGGGGGCACCAGCAGCAAAGGAAGGCGCCGCCCAAGATGGCCAGGGACGAGGCTGCCCAGCCGATGAAGAGCGCCTGGCCAAATTCAAACCTGGGAAGGAAGGAGACGGTCTGGTTAAGTCCAAGCATGACGTGGAACAATCCACCCAGGGCCCAGTTCTTTATTTGGTCCCACTCAGTAAGACTCAGAAGAACAGAAGAACAGAGTTGGAAGGGACAGGAACTGCAAGAGGGATCTCGGAGTCCTAGTAAACAATCCCTTAACTAGGAGTGTGCTGCAGCTGCCAAAAAGGCCAACACAGTGCTGGGCTGCATTCACAGAGAGACAGAATCAGGATCCCGTGAAGTGTTAATACCACTTTACAAGGCCTTGGGAAGGCCACACTTGGAACACGGCATCCAGTTTTGCTCATCATGATGTAAAAAAGGATGTTGAGAGTCTAGAAAAGAGTGCAGAGAGGATCATCAAAGATGATTAGGAGGCGAAAACATATGGAGAACGGTTGCACAAATTGGTTATGGCCGGTCTAGAGAAAAGAAGGACTGGGGGGGGGGAGTGACCTGATAGCAGTCTTCCAGTATCTCAGGGGCTGCCCCAAAGAAGAGGGAGTCAAGCTATTCTCCAAAGCACCTGAAGTCAGGACAAGAAGCAACGGATGGAAACGAATCAAGGAGAGAAGCAACCTGGAACTAAGGAGAAACTTCCTGACAGTGGAACCACCTGCCTCCAGATGCGGGGAATGCTCCAACACTGGAAGTTTTTAAGAAGAGACTGGACAGCCATTTGTCCAAAATGATATAGGGTTTCCGGCCTGAGCAGGGAGGTCGGACTAGATGACCTCCCAGGTCTCTTCCAGCTCTGTTAATCTGTATCCTTTGACTCCGCCTTCCATCCTTCCCAGGTTGGTAAAAGGAAGACCCAGATTGTTGAGGGCAATGGGCTGACTCTGTAAACCGCTTAGAGAGAGTTGCGAAGCGGTGTGTAAGTCTAAGTGCTAGTGCTAGTGCTGTTGTGTTATTCTGTAATTCTGTTAATCCAACTCTGTGCTCAGGCAGGACACCCTATAAAGTCCACCTATCTTAAAACTAGCCAAGGTTGAGAAACACTTGATCTTTCTCCCAGTTGTGACCCCTTTGTCTCCAAACTTGTCTAAACTTCCCCGCTTGTGAGTCTGACACTGTTAGAATCTGCCATTTCCTCATTCATGGCCTTTGACTGGTTCCCAGATTCCACACACACAAACACACACACGACCCACAGGTTTCAGCATGCGCTTCTTGGCTGCCTTCCTTGAAGTTGCAAGGATTAAAATGGGAGAAGTGAGGGTGGGAAGTACATCAAGTCTTCGGTTAGAACGGGCCTTTCCCAAGACGCAGATACAGCCTGATGAACATTGCTGATCTGTAAAAGGGTGGTTGGAGAGCCTCACAATGCCCCAGATTGCTCACAGGCCTGCTTGGAAATTAAGACTTTCTCTAACTGTCTCCGGCAACCTAGAACTAAGGAGAAACTTCCTGACAGTGAGAACAATTAACCAGTGGAACTCCTTGCCACCAGAAGCGGTGAATGCTCCAACACTGGAAGTTTTTAAGATGAGACTGGACAGCCATTTGTCCAGAATGTTACAGGGCAGTGATGGCGAACCTTTTAGAGACCGAGTGCTCAAACTGAAACCCAAAACCCACTTACTTATCACTGGGTGCCAGGTGGGCATGGCCCACTGGGTGGGCGTGGCTGTGGTGGTCATGGCAGAATGGGTGGGTGTGGCCAAGGTGGGCGTGGTCACCTGGATGTTGCTTGTGGGGAGGGATGCCTATGGGGGCCGGGCAGGGTTGGGGGAGATCCAGGGGGTCTCTGGCAGGTGGGGCGGTGGGCGGGAGGCTCGTCCTGTGGGTGTCAACCCTGCAAATATTGTATATTCTTGCTTTTGACAATATGCAGAATTGTCTGCTAAATATGGGGTTAATAAAGAGCAGAAGGGGCGTTGGGGGTAAAGCCCGGGGAAAGAAAGAGGAAGAAAACCTTTGACCTTCACACTAATTGGATAATGTGAGATATGACGGCTAATTTAGGGAGGGAACATGCTGATAATTTAACTGCTCAGAGGAAGAGAACTTAGATCCTAGCATCCCTCCGTTGTGCCTGTGCCGACATTTTGTAACAATAAAAGACTTTTAGGAAAATAAATGCCTGGAAGTTCTTTGGAATGTTTCATTAGCCGGAACCACAACAGTGGGCTGAGGGGAGGCAAGGCAGGGCAGGGGTACCATTGCTATGGGGCAAGGCGAGGCAGGGGGCAGGGCGGTTGCTGCCTGACACCATCGCCCCCCCGCACACAGAGGCTAGCAAGTGCATGGGGGCTGACGGTGTCCGTCAGCAGCCACAGCCTACCGGCCCCTCGACCGGCGCACTCTGGGGCTCCAGAGCCCGCTGCCAGCAGATCAGAGAAGCTGCCTCTGAGCTGGACGGTGGGCGGACAGCTGAGGAGGCGATGAAGTGGGTCGTGCCCACGAAAAGGAGAGCATGCGAGGCCAGGAGGGATGGGATGGGGGGGGGAGGGAAACCAGCCATGCCGGGATGCATCCGTCCACATGGGACCTCGGCGAGTTAGCAGGTAGCTGCTTCAAGAGGCATGGTTTCCATCTCTGGGGCATGGTGCGCGTGCCCACAGAGAGGGCTCTGAGTGCCGCCTCTGGCATGTGTGCCACAGGTTTGCCACCACTGTTATACGGTCTCCTGCTTGAGCAGGGGGTTGGACTAGACGACCTCCAAGGTCCCTTCCGAGTCTGTTATTCTACTATTCCATCAGCAGAGGGTCAACCATAATAATAATAATAATAATAATAATAATAATAATAATAGTAGTAGTAGTAGTAGTAGTAGTAGTAGTAGTAGTAGTAGTAAAGTTGGAAGGGACCTTGGAGGTCGTCTAGTCCAACCCCCTGGTCAGGCAGGAAAACCTACACCATTTCGGACAAATGGCTGTCCAGTCTCTACTCAAAAACATCCAGTGTTGGAGCAGCCACGATTTCTGGAGGCAGGCTGTTCCACTGATTAATTGTTCTCACTGTCAAGAAGTTTCTCCTTAGTCCTAGGTTGCTTCTCTCCTTGATGAGTTTCTCCATCCGTTGCTTCTTGTCCTGCCTTCAGGGGCTTTGGAGAATAGCTTGACTCCCCCTTCTTTGGGGCAGCCCCTGAGATACTGGAAGGCTGCTATCATGTCCCCCCTCGTCCTTCTCTTCATTAAACTAGACAAAGAGTCAAAGGTTTTCCTGCCCCACTCCATCAGCTGAGTCTAGACCAGGAGTCTTCAAATAATAGTAGTAGTAGTAAAGTTGGAAGGGACTTTGGAGGTCATCTAGTCCAACCCCCTGCTCGGGCAGGAAACCCTACACCATTTCGGACAAATGGCTGTCCAGTCTCTTCTTAAAAACTTCCAGTGTTGGAGCATTTACTGCTTCTGGAGGCAGGCTGTTCCACTGATTAATTGTTCTCACTGTCAAGAAGTTTCTCCTTAGTCCTAGGTTGCTTCTCTCCTTGATGAGTTTCCATCCGTTGCTTCTTGTCCTGCCTTCAGGTGCTTTGGAGAATAGCTTAATTCCCTCTTCTTTATGGCAGCCCCTGAGATATTGGAATACTGCTATCATGTCCCCCCTTGTCCTTCTCTTCGTTAAACTAGATCAGGGGTAGGCAACCCAAAACACTTAAAGAGCCACTTGGACCCGTTTCCCACCAAAAACAAAACACCGGGAGCCGCAAAACCCTTTTGATATATAAAATGAAGATAACACTGCATATATCCTTTTTTACCTTTATTATAGGTGTGTGTGTGTGTGTGTGTGTGTGTGTGTGTTTGTGTATGTATGTGTGTGTGTATGTATATATACACACACACATTAAAAATAAAAGTAAAAATATAACTCTTGGGAATATCCATACTATTAAAACAATGATCACCAAGAGAATGCTTTAAGAGAATAAAATTACATACACACACAGGTAAAAAAAGGATATATGCAGTGTTATCTTCATTTTAGATGTCAAAAGGGTCTCTCTCTCTCTGTCTCTCTCCCTCCCTCCCTCTCTATCTGCCCTTGGTCTGCCACTCCTCTTCCCCCACTCTTTCTCTTTCTTTCTCTCTCTCTCTTTCCTCTCTCTCTCTCTCTCTCTCTCTTTCTCCCCCCCTCCTATCTGCTGCTCACCTGGCAAGCTTCAAGCTGTTGTCCAACAAGCTCAGGGGTAAGCAACCTCGTCTCTTTTATGACTCATGGACTTCAACTCCCAGAATTCCTGAGTCAGCCTAGCTAGCTCTCTCCTGCCCTTCCTGCTTCCTGCAGAGACGCAGCAAAGGGAGGAGCTCCACCCAGTAAGCTTTTCAGCTCCTCGGAGAACACTGTGAGCGCATTCTCTTTTACACACACACACACACACAAACACACACACACACACACACACACACTCTCTCTCTCTCTCTTTTACACACACACACACAGAGAGAGAGAGAGAGAGAAAGAGAAAAAGAGAGAGAGAGAAAGAGAGAGAGAGAAGCAGGGAAGTGCAATTGCCTCTCTCTGTCTCTGTCTCTCTCTGCAAAGGCAGAGGAGGCTGGGAGCCACAGGGAAAGGCTCAAAGAGTCGCATGCGGCTCCGGAGCCGCAGGTTGCCGACCTGTGAACTAGACATACCCAATTCCAGCAACCGTTCCTGATATGTTTTAGCCTCCAGTCCCCTAATCATCTTTGTTGCTCTTCTCTGTATTCTTTCTAGAGTCTCAACGTCTTTTTTACATTGTGGTGACCAAAACTGGATGCAGTATTCCAAGTGTGGCCTTACCAAGGCATTGAAGAGTGGTATTAATACTTCACGTGATCTTGATTCTCTCCCTGTTAATGCAGCCTAGCACTGTGTTGGCCCTTTTGGCAGCTGCAGCACACTGCTGGCTCCTATGTAAGTGATTGTCTACTAGGACTCCGAGGTCCCTCTCACAGTTACTGCTATTGAGCATGGTGCCACCTATACGGTACTTGTGGCCCTTTGATGACTTGTGGACTTCAGTTCCCAGAATTCCTCAGCCAGGCACGCTGGGAGTTGAAGCCCACAAGTCATAAAAGGGCCAAGTTGGAAGACCCCTGCTCTAGAGATTCATTGAGATGTGACTTACCTGGTGTTGACAGGCGTGTAGGGGTTGAAAAATTCCTGCGCGACAACGTTGCCATACCACGAGGTAGCCACTAAGGAGGCAAAGCCTATGGGAAGGAAGGAGAGAAGGAAGAGGTTGTGAAGTCAACACAACTTCCAAGAAGGAAGGACTGCTTATGGTCCTCCAGTAAGCATGGCTGCTTATGACACACCAGCTCACACCAAGACGGCCCCTTCCAGATATGTTGGAAGCGATCGGAGAACTGACGTTCAACACATGTAGAGTAACAGAATTGTAGTTTGGGACGCACGAGCGGGACCATCTCGTAGAGTGTTTCTCAGGATTGGCAACTTGAAGATGGGTGGACTTCAACTCCCAGAATTCCCCAGCCTCTTCTTCAAAGCCTCCAGAGAACTATCACAACTCCGCAGACATTACTCCACTGTTTACAGAACTGGAGGATCCTACTTTGAGGAAGGCTGGCCAACATCTGGCATGGCTGTTGGTGTGAGACCATGAATTGGTCAGATTTGCACCTGGCTTATCTTCTCTCTTGGGTTTCAGATCTTTCAAGTCATCCCCAAGTCAGCCGCCGTTCACCCATCGGCCTTAATTTCAGCAAGGCTGACAGATTAGGGACCTTCGTCCCACCCAGACCCTACCAATGGTTGGTGGTCCACTTTGTGTCCCCCTGTTTCCCAGGACTCCAACCTAAGGGCCCATCTCTGGTGGTTTCCGTACCGACGTCTCTTTGCAAGACTGCAAAATAATAGCCAGGCCTAGGCGGACCCTGGTCCATAAACATGGATTGGCAGAAGAAAGACCTTCTTCACCTGAGATTATGAAGATGACACCTCCAAGGATGGCCATCCTTGACTTCTTGACCTCATCATCTTCCAAGCACTTCATGCATTTCATGCCAATCATGGCGACAAAAGCTCCGATGAGACCCAGAAGGATGCTGGACACCATCAGGGCCCGGGTGGCTTGTAAGCTGCCTGAAAACGAGAGGAAGAACTTGGTTTTACAATCCCATGGATGGAAGGACCAATGATGTAATCGGGCGGGATGCTATTTCTAATGTCCCAGACTGAAAGAAACGTATTTGATCATGTTCTACTACAGGAGTAGGCAACCTTGGCTCTTTTATGACTGGTGGACCTCAACTCCCAGAATTCCTCAGCCAGCATGGGGGAACTGTGGCCCCTTCATGATTTGTGGAGTTCAACTCCCAGAATTCCTGAGCCAGCATGAGGGATACTTTGGCCCCTTCATGACTTGTGGACTTCAACACCCAGAATTCCTCAGCCAGCATGGCTCAGCTTGGAAACCTCTCCCTTTCCCCTCAGCATGGCTGGCTCAGGAATTCTGGGAGTTGAAGTCCACAAGTCATAAAAGAACCAAGGTTGCCTACCCCTGTTCTACTAGGACACCCTTAAAGAGGATCATACTTGTCTTTTTTTTAAAAAAAAAAAACAACAACTATGAAGTTGAATCCCTTTCCTTAAAGGACTCCTGAGCAGATGCCTAATCTAGGATTGGATAGTCTACAGCTTTGTTTTACGGCATTGTGGTAACTATATTAGCCCACCAAAGGGTTTATTTCTTTATGTCTCTTGCGTGTGGTCCTTGGTGCTCTCTGAGCTGGGTGGTTTTGTTTTAGACGTTACATTACCAAACTAGGTAATATCATCAGGCTAGTAGTGAGCGGGATTATAATGTACATAAACAGAGAGCAAGCACCACACCCTTCTAGGACTGATGATGTTGCCTAGTTGGGTCATGAAACATCTGCAAGAAAATAGCCAAGATCAGAGAGCACCCAGGACCCCCCAGTTGTCCTCCTCCTCCTCCTCCTCCTCCTCCTCCTCCTCCTCCTCCCTTCTAGCACTGATGATGTTCCCTAGTTGGGTCATGAAACATCTGGAAGAAAACCACCAAGCTCAGAGATCACCAAGGACCCCACAGTTCAACCCTCAGCTACAAATAGTCTCTTTTATGTTTCTTGTGTTGTACATAGACATTGCGTTCCCAAGACGTGGCTTGGGGTTTAGGCTATTCCACGAACCTAATTGTACATTCACACAATATATTTAACCTGGTTATGGAGTTAGACTATTTTCTGTTCTGGCATCGTAGGCTGTTGCATCAACTCACGAAAAGGGCTGCTTAAGCACAACTTGATGAGTAAATAATAATAAGATTGATCAAAGTTTACATGTTGTGTTAATGCCTCTGTTGGGTCTTCACTTGACCTGCTTCATTGGATTGAGTGAACTCAACCGCCCTTTCGTAGAAATTCTTCCTTAGTGCATTTAACTAACAACACAATACCTAAGCGTCCCTCCCCATGCCCATAACCAGTGTCCTCCAGTTGCATTAGACTACAAACCCCACCATTCAAAGTCAAAACAGAGGGAGGATTATGGAAACTGAAGTCCAACTGCAAAAAGTATCAGACTGGCCGTATTTCACTGTCAGCCTTTAAGATAAGCCAGCATCAACTCTTAGTTGCAAACAATTTTTTTTCTATGAGGGACGTTTAAGAGGGCTTTATGTCACAGATGAAGACAATTCTAAAAATCCCAATTAAAATTAGCCTCAATCACCACACCTTGCCGGGAGACGGGTGGCAAATAAGTTTAATAAGTAAGTAAATAAATAAAACCTTTTTTATAGTTAGAGCTGAGAGATTAGCCAGGAGCTGCATCCACACAGCACGCTAAACCTAGTTAGCGTTAACTTTGCCTAGACGTTTTGGGTCTTCACAGGCTGGGCAAACCAATGTGGGTCTTAGCCAAGGGCCAAAAGCTCTGTGCCTCAGTTATTTGTTCTTTAAAATGGGAAGACCGACGCAACTCGCAGGACCAGTGGGAAGATGTAATTCCCACCCCAAACTGGTTTATCTATCGACTCCATAGTCACAAATCTTACTCATAAGCCTACTGCAGGATTTGGAGTGCCTTTTACTCAGGCTATCCTTTACTCAACTGTAATCAAAACAACTGACTTGATGACTGGGCTAACTCATTTTCTTGGTGGTGACAAAACCAACAGCAGCAAACCAGAGATACAGGATTTGGGTTATTTTTCTTCACAATTCTTCTGCGTTTTACTTTGCTATCCTTTGCAAGTTCTTGAGAGCCCTTTGGGGACTGCAGGCGTCTAGACGTGGTTTTAGACTGTGGTGTTACATATTCAATGCATAGGACCCTTAAAACTGGACAAAGCATTACACCAACATAGTAGGAATTGTGTTTTCTTAAGCCAGGTGTCTTGGTTGGGGTGCTGTATGAAACCAGTGCGAAACAACAGCCTGATCAAGAAACAACCAAGAACATTTCCAGCAACTCTTGACAGGGCAAGCCAGGAGTATATAAAAGCAGGAGCAAACCCCTTTCGCTTCTAGCACTGATGGTGTTCCCTAGTTGGGTCATGAAACGTCTGCAAGAAAACCACCCAGCTCAGAGAAGAGCAAGGACCCCACAGTTGTTTTCCTCCTTCTCTTTCTCTTTCTCCTTCTCTTTCTCTTTCTCCCCCTCCTCCTCCTCTCCATAAACCCTACTCCCTTCTGGCACTGACGTTACCTAACTGGGTCATGAAAAGACTACAAGAAAATAACCAAGCTCAGAGATCACCATTGACCCCACAGTCCTCCTCCCTCCACTCCACTCCACAACACACACACCCACTCCCTCCTAGCACTGATGATGTTCCCTAGTTGGGTCATGAAACGTCTGCAAGAAAACCACCCAGCTCAGAGAGCACCAAGGACCCCCCCCCAGTCCTTTCTCTTTCTTTCTTTCTTTCTTTCTTTCTTTCTTTCTTTCTTTCTTTCTTTCTTTCTTTCTTTCTTTCTCTCTCTCTTTCTTTCCTTTTCTTTCTTTTTCTTTCTTTCTTTCTTTCTCTCCTCCTCCTCCTCCTTTCTGCACACCCCTCTCCCTTCTAGCACTGATGATGTTCCCTAGTTGGGTCATGAAAAGTCCGCAAGAAAACCACCCAGCTCAGAGAGCACCAAGGACCTCACAGTCCTCCTCCTCCTCCTCCTCCTCCTCTTCCTCCTCCTCCTCCTGCTCCTGCTCCTCCTCCTCCTCCCATGAAACCCCACTCCCTTTGAGCCCTGATTATGTTACCTAACTGGGTCATGAAACATTTACAAGAAAGCAACCCAGCTTAGGGAGCACCAAGGATCCCACATACTCTACATTCCTCGGGATTATCCCTTTACTTAATCTCTCAAGAGTGAAGCTCTGTCTCCTCTTGTTCACCCTTAAACGGCTACAAGACATGAATTCCCAAGGTGAAATTTCACAACCAAAGTCTCTCCATGTGCCCAGGCAGACAGAGAATCCTGGGGTCCTCCGCTCTGGACAGGAGACCCTATCGCTGGTGGACAGCTAACCAACCTCTGGAAGATGTTTAGGAGTCCCAGATGAGGAGAAACTTCCTGACAGCGAGAACAATTAACCAGTGGAACAGCTTGCCTCCAGAAATCGTGGGATGCTCCATCACTGGAGATTTTTAAGAAGAGGCTAGAGACAGTCACCTGTCTGAAATGGTATAGGTTCTCCTGCTTGAGCAGGGGGCTGGACTAGAAGACCTCCAAGGTCCCTTCCAGCTTCTATTCTATTCTATTCTATTCTATTCTATTCTATTCTATTCTAGTGACTGTCCAGCCTCTTTGTAAGTAAGTAAGTAAGTAAGTAAGTAAGGAAGGAAGGAAGGAAGGAAGGAAGGAAGGAAGGAAGGAAAGAAGGAAAGGAGGGAGGGAGGAAGGGACCTTGGAGGTCTTCTAGTCCAACCCCCTGCTCAAGTAGGAGAACCTATACCATCTCAGACAAATGGTTGTCCAGTCTCTTCTTGAAAACCTCCAGTGATGGAGCACCCACAATTTCTGGTGGCAAGCAGTTCCACAGTTGATTGTCCTCACTGTCAGGAAGTTTCTCCTTAGTTCCAGTTTGCTTCTCTCTTTGGTCAGCTTCCAACCATCGTTCCTCGTCCTGCCCTCTGGTGCTTTGGAGAATAATGTGACCCCTTCCTCTTCTTTGGGGCAGCCCCTCAGATACTGGAATATCTGCTATCATGTCTCCCCTGTTTCTTCTTTTCTTTAGATCAGCCAAACCCAAGTCCCACAGCTATTCTTTGTATGTTTTGGCCTCCAGGCCTTGGATTATTGTGGTCATAAGTCGAGAACTACCTGTATCTAGGCAGGCCAAGAGTTAAGCCTCTCTTGTTTCCACCTGGACGTAAACCAGGTTTGGGAGCCTCAGATCTTTGCAAATTCTCCCTCAGTTTTTGTCTGTATCTCCACACTGGCTAATGGATGTCTGAATCAACCCTCTTTCCCCGAAGGCATTCAAACAACAACAAACACAATTCAAGGTATTAATGACAGGCACCTGCAGGCTTCAGATGTAAAGCAAGGGGTCTGTGTACACACACACCCCTTCCTTCCTTTGCATGTTTTTGTTGTTGTGATCTGCTGTTTGGTTTTATTTTATAGGCAAGCTTGATGCATCCCATCCCTCCTGGAAAACAGCAGGAAAGGACTTTCTCTGGCATGTTTTCGCAACTTCTTCGGTGGTCTTGCTTTCAAGTCTTAATCCAGCCCAACCCAGGATTCATCAGGGAGGTGCTGTTCACACCCCAAATTTCTTCTCTGGAGGAAGAAGAAGCTGAGACACACCTATGTTTAGCCTCTCACATAGATCTGATCCTTATTTTTCAATCCAGTCTGAACATCTGGCTGACTGTGCGATGATCGATAATAATAATAATAATAAAGTTGGAAGGGATCTTGGAGGTCATCTAGTCCAACCCCCTGCTCAGGCAGGAAACCCTATACCATTTCGGACAAAGGGCTGTCCAATCTCTTCTTTAAAACCTCCAGTGATGAAGCATCCACAACTTCTGGAGGCAGGTTGTTCCACTGGTTAATTGTTCTCACTGTCAGGAAGTTTCTCCTTAGTTCTCCTGTTAAGAAAGACTGGGCCAATCT